CTTGCTTCTTTTTCTTGATTCATCCTTTTTTCTCTTTCTCCTTGAAGGTGCATCTATGGCGTTCCAGAACCACACTGATTTCTCCACCAACTCTGCAAACCCTTACTACTTGCATCCGAACGAGAATCTGACGTTGATTCTTGTTTCGACGCCGCTAACCGCCAAGAACTACCATACCTGGTCACGTTCGATGCATATCACGCTGATTTTGAAGAACAAAGATAAGTTTGTTGATGGCTCTCTTCCGAAGCCTCCCGTCTCTGATCCGATGTACGCGCCATGGAACCGATGTAATACGATGGTATTGGCATGGCTTCATCGTTCTCTCTCCGAATCCATTGCTCGTTCTGTCCTTTGGATTGACACTGCTGCAGGAGTTTGGAAGAATTTGCGCGTTCGTTTCTCACAGAGTGACATCTTCCGCATTTTCGATCTGCAAGAGGATCTGTATCACTTTCGTCAAGGAACTCTTGATATTTCCTATTACTTCACGCAATTGAAGGTTTATTAGGACGAATTGGAGAACTATCGTCCTCTTCCTTACTGTAAGTGTTCAATTCCTTGTTCTTGTGACGCAATTGAATCTGTTAAAGCCTATCGTGAACAAGACTTTGTTATTCGATTCCTAAAAGGCTTGAATGAACGTTTCTTGCACTCCAAATCACAAATTATGATGATGAACCCTCTCCCTGATATTGAACATGCTTTTTCATTGGTTTTGCAACAAGAGCGAGAACTGATTAGCTCTAACAAAAATTCTGCTACTGAAGTTGCATCTGAACCTGTCGTAGCTATGCAAGTTAGCTCTAATCACCACAATTACAATAACAAAGGGAGTTACTATAAGGGAAAGGGACAAGGTTCTTTCAAAGGGGGTAATCGCACATGCACTCACTGTGGTAAGAACAACCACATTGTTGATAACTGCTTTGAGAAGATTGGTTATCCTCCTAGGTACAAGACACACAAGCAAAAGAATCCCTCATCTCAAGCCAACAATACCTCAAATGATGTTGTTTTGGAGTCTGCTTCACAAGGCTCATCTTCACAGTCCACGTTTCAATTTACTCAGGAAATGTATCAAGGAATTCTTGAAGCTCTTCAGCAGTCAAAACTTGGTTCCCAACCAACAGTTAATGCTGTAACAACTGCTCCTTTTGCTATGCATTCTCCTGCTTCTTCCCAACTTAGTAAGCCTTCCAATATTTGGATATTAGATACTGGTGCTACTGATCACATCACTTTTGATCTTTCCTCTTTTACTACATATCAAAATATTATCCCTGTTTCTGTGTCTTTACCAAATGGCTCCCAAGTCTTGGCTTCTATTTCGGGTAGTATGGTTATATCCCCATCTATCACTATCCACCAAGTCCTTTACATTCCTTGTTTTTAAGTAAACCTAATCTTTGTCACAAAGTTAGCAAGCACAAATAAGTGTCATTTGAGTTTCAACACTAACTCTTGTCAAATTTTGCAGAACCATTCCTTGGAAACGATTGGTACAGCTAAGCTCCAAAGAGGATTGTATGTAATAGATACTGCCACTAGCTTTTCTTCTTGCAATTCTATTTCCTTGATTCTTTTGAGAAATGGCATTCCATATTAGGTCATATTTCTGAATCTGGTATTAAAATTATCTCTAAGCAGTTTCCTTACATACCTTGTAAAAATAATATGACACCCTGTGATAGTCGTCATTTTTCTAAGCAAAAGAAATTACCTTTCCCTAATAGCATTACCAATTCTGCATTTCCTTTTCAAATATTGCATGCTGATGTGTGGGGGCCCTTTGCCACAACTTCTATTTCTGGACATAGGTATTTCCTTACCTTAGTGGATGATTACTCTAGGTTCACATGGATAATTCTCCTTAAAAGCAAAAGTGAAACCAAAAATTGCATGTTCAATACTTCTTTGAAATGTCTCAGATCCGACAATGGGACTGAATTTGTCACCTTAACTGATTTCCTTAGGTCTAAAGGTAACTTCACCAAAGGTCTTGTATTGAAACTCCACAACAAAACGACATAGTTGAACGTAAACATCAGCATATTTTAAATGTTGCAAGATCCTTATACTTCCATGCTCATATTCCTCTCTCCTTATGGAGCTTCTGCATTCAACATGTTGTACACATCATAAACAGAATTCCTAGTCCCTTGCTTAAATCCAAAACCCCTTATGAGTTGCTACACAAATCCCCCTACCCTTCTCCACCTCAAAGTCTTCGGTTGTTTAGCTTATGAAACAACTATTCAAACTCACAGGTCTAAATTTGATCCCAGAGCAAGAAAATATGCCTTTATTGGCTACAAAGGTGGAACCAAGGGTTATACCCTCTATGACCTCCAATCTGATGATATTTTCCTTTCACGAAATGTCATTTTCTATGAGGATACCCTTCCATTTCAATCTCTATCCAATCAGTTTTCTTCCCAAGAGTCCCAGCACTTTCCTATATATGTTGGATCTTTGGATATTGATGACATCTCTCCTTTATCCAATGGTCCCTTACATAATGCCAACATCAACCTTCCTGATGCAGCCCAGAACCCTGCAGACCTAAACGTTGTGGACCAAAATTTGGTCCCTCTCACCTTTGTCCCTGCTACTATAGTAGATCAGTCACCTGTCACCTCTCCACCTGTTAATTCTGCACCAGTTCACCCTTCTACTCCACTTCAGTCACCTATAGGTTGTCCTCACCCTACCTCACCTTTAGCTGAACCCAACTCAACCTATATTCCAGCTCATGCTAGTACTGAAGCTAGTACATCTACCCCTCTTAGAGTCTCAACTCGTATTAAAAGACCTCCAAGCTATTTGCAGGACTATCACTGCAATAATATATCTAGATGTACTAATCAAAATTCCACTTCTATTGCTTATCCTCTTTCATTTGTTTTGACTTATAATCATTGTTCTCCTGCTTATAAATTGTTTTGCTGCTCTATTTCATCTAACATTGAGCCCAAAACTTACAACCAAGCTTCCAAGTTTGACTGTTGGAAGGAGGACATGAATGCTGAGATTGCAGCTCTAGAGGTAAATAATACATGGACTGTTGTGGATCTTCCTTGTGGCAAGACTCCAATAGGTTGTAAATGGGTTTATAAGATCAAATATCATGCTAATGGATCCATAGAGAGGTAAAAAGCTCGCCTTGTGGCCAAAGGCTATACACAAATGAAAGGGGTGGATTACTTTGACACTTTTTCTCCAGTAGCTTAGATGACTATTGTGCGTGTTTTATTAGCACTTGCTGCTGTTAAAGGGTGGTTTGTAGAACAATTGGATGTGAATAACGCCTTTCTTCATGGTGACTTACATGAGGATGTTTACATGACCCTTCCCCCTGGTTATGCTACAAACTCTTCGTAGGTATGCAAACTGAACAAGTCACTCTATGGCTTGAAACAGGCCAGTCGCCAATGGTACTTCAAACTCTCTACTGCCCTTGTGTCTATGGGTTACAAACCCTCTTAAGCTGACCATTCTCTCTATGTAAAGTCTCATGGTTCTTCCTTTACAGCTTTACTTGTTGATGTTGATGACATCGTCTTGGAAGGTACGTCCCTTGAGGAAATTAAGCTTGTCAAACAGTCTCTTGATCAACAGTTCAAGATCAAAGATCTTGGCCAACTCAGGTTTTTTCTTGGCTTAGAAATTGCTCGTTCCTCTTCCGGTATTTTTCTAAATCAACGAAAGTATGTTCTTGAGCTCCTTGAAGACACTGGGCTCCTTGGTGCTAAGTCTGCTCATGTACCAGTTGACCCTCACACCAAACTGTCAGCTACTGATGGTGATCCCTTTGTAGATCCATCCGACTATAGACGCTTAATTGGCAGACTTCTCTACTTGACTCATACTAGGCCTGATATTTCTTTTGCTGTCCAACATCTCAGTCAGTATGTTTCCAAGCCCTTAGTCCCTCATTGTAATGCTGCTACTTGCATATTGCGCTACTTGAAATCTTGTCCAGCTAAAGGCATTTTCTTCTCCAGTCAGACTCCATTGCAGCTGCATGGTTTTGCAGATTCTGACTGGGCTTGCTGCCCCAATACCCGAAGATCTATTACTGGCTACTGCGTATTGTTTGGCACTTCATTGGTCTCTTGGAAATCTAAGAAGCAAAATACGGTTTCTCGCTCTTCCACTGAGGCAGAATACCGTGCTTTGGCATCTTTAACATTTGAGCTACAATGGCTTCAATATTTGTTCAATGATTTTCAGGTTTCTTTTTCGCAACCGTCTTCGGTTTATTGTGACAACAAGTCTGCCATTTATCTTGCTCATAATCCAACACTCCATGAGCGTAGCAAGCATATAGAACTGGATTGTCACATTATTCGGGAAAAGTTGCAGTCCAAGCTAATTCATCTTTTTTCTGTTCCTTCAAAATTGCAGCTGGCTGATGTGTTTACAAAACCACTTCACTCTCCTGCTTTTTCATCCATGGTGTCCAAGTTGGGGTTGTGCTCCATCCACCATCCAACTTGAGGAGGATTGTCAACATTATATAGCTTTACTATTTTTACTCTTTGGTAATTAGTTATTTACTGTAATTAGCTTTGTTACCTAGCAGTATATATAAGCTACTACTCATCAATGTAATAGTGAGATTATTACTTTCATTATTCGATCAAAGTAAAATGAGTTCCCTTTACTATTTGGATCCTCTTGTCCACAAAAGAGTGTGTGGAATTCTAGACTTGTGCAAGGCAAGTGTGCTTTTATGATGAAGGAAAAGTTGAAAATGTTGAGAGAAAAACTTAGAATGTGGAACGTAAAGGCGTTTGGGGGTGATTAACTTGGTAGTGGATGAAGCTATCAAAAAGCTCACTTTGTTAGATTCGAAGGCAGTTGTATGTATAGAGTGAAATCTAAAACACTTATCAGAGAAAACAAAACAGCCATTAATAAACAACAGTAATGTTATCTTTGTTGAAACAAAAGAAAAACTCATATTTCATAGAAAATATTCACACTAATCTTAATTATTTACAATTATTGTAGCCATAGCCAGCATCTTGAGGGATATCAATGTTATAGTTAAATATGACAGGAGGGTAATCATAGTGATATGCAGTGACACTCTCTGGTATCCAACCATCAGTTCCATTTCTAAATAGATACATTTTGCATATTTTTCCAATACACGGTCCTAATATCTCAAATTCAATCGTGGCGCATTGCTCGAATGTTGTCCCGGAATCAGGATCATCCAGTCTTTGAACATAAACCTACAATCAAATACATGTTTAGATATATATAATCGATTCAATGCTGTGTACTCGATCCATTATCGAGCCGATAAAAGAGCAAAAGAGAAAGGAACCTCAGAGGCATTATTGTCTCCAAATAAAATACTGATTTCATCAGTTGTATGTGGTGGAGAATCGCAGCTTGTCTTTATGTTAACTTTGTAATTGCAGCTGCCACCACTCTTTCTAGTCTCATTCTGTAAACATATTCATATGAATAAAAAACATTCATGCATGTATGAAATCAAAAATAAAAAACATTCATGTAAAAACAATTTACTTGTAGGTGGATTGAAGACTGATTCATTTGAGGTTGAGTGATGAATGTTGGTGTTGTCTTGGACAAGACAAAGATGATGGAGAATGTGAGAATTAATGCAACAACTTTCATGATTAAACTTTTCTTTTTTCTTTTCAAGACAAGAGAATGAGGAAGAATTAACTGGTTTTAGATATTGTGAGTTTCTATTATAGCATTAGAAAGTTGAGGGGCAATATTAAATTACATCATCAAATGCTCTAATATAATAATGCAAAAAAAATATATTATATACCCTTCCAGTTTAATGTTGAATTTAGGTTTATTTCAACTTTTAAAAAATAGATTTTTTTTAAATGATTTATAAAAAATATTTTTTAATTCTTAAAATTAATTTAAAATTATTTTGACAATCTATAACAAAAATATACATTTTAAAAAATTAAAATATTTTCAAAATTTTAATTTTTTATAAAAATATATTTCAAATATTATTTGAAATAGTTTTCAATTTTAATTAATTTAAAAAAAATTATATTTAAAAAATTATAGTAAAATGATGAAATGTTTAAACAAAAAATATATAACAGAATAAAAATTATTTTTAAAAAATAAAATAAACAAACTTTTAATTTATAACTTTTAGCTAAATTGATAGAGATCGTTGATCGTGTCATCCATAATATCAAAGTGATAACTTTCTAAACTTTGTTAGCTTTACGAAAGAGCAAAAGGTTATTTGCGGAATGTACTGAATTCACTAATTTCGTTGCTTTCTTGAATAATTAACTACTAATTGTTGATTCTGTTTATTCATTATAACAAGATTAAATAACTTTTTACTTACCCAAAAAGCTTAAACTGAATATATAATGCAATTTAATAAACAATTTTTTGGAAGAAAAAAAAGCCATCTCAAAGTTCATATCCTTTTCAACCTTTCATTATTACCTTTTAAATAGTTAAATAAATATAATAAAAAGACAAAAATACAAAATATATAGTGCTAATAGGTTAGACGGGCATGCAGATCAAATAAAATAATCAAAATGAAATCTCCACACAATGAATTAGCGGTAATTAATTTCATTCAGAGAATCACTTGGGCAAACATATAAGTTTCAATCGAAATTTTTGTTGTGTTTTATACTTTTTTGAAAATTTGAAATTGTCCTTAAAGAATTCAGAGAAAATTCTTTGAACGTACACAAAAATAAAATATAATTTGAAAATATATCCTTATGCGTTATTTAGATGTATTTGGAAATACATCCTTAAAATATCCTTTATATTCAATTGTTTTGTTTTTATTCGCTGAATTTTATATTTTTGAAGCACATATATATTTTAGATCATTAATACATATATTGTTTGATTCAAACATAGTACTCAATTATGGAGAAAAAAACATAATACTTAATTACGATAAAAGTCATACAACACTACGCAAGAATTGACTTTTAGCAGCGCATACAAAGAAAATGCTTTATGAAAAAGCGCTGCTAAAGAGTCAAGGAAAAAAAAGAAAAAAAAGAAAAAAAAATAACATACCTTAGACAGCGCTTTCTGAAAAGCGCTGCTAAAGGGGGTTCTAAGAAAGCGCTACTAAAAGTATGCTCTAAGAAAGCGCTTTTTAAAGCGCTGCTAAAGGGGGCTCCTAAGAAAGCGCTTTTGTAAAAGCGCTGCTGTATGTGTAACCTACGAGAGCGCTTTATCTATAAGTGCTGCTATATGGGGTATATAAGAAAGCGCTTTTAAAAAGCGCTGCTATATGTCATGCCTAGGCACACCTTAGAGAGCACTTTTTAAAAGCGCTGCTAAAGGCTATTAAAAAGCGCTGCTATAGGTATAATTATAATAATTTTAAAATACCCACCAGAATTTTTAATAGAAACAGAACAGTTGTGCGTGTGTTTCTTTCCATCTTTCTCTTCTAGCGAACGTTGCGCCCTATAACCCATGACTGTTTCCGTCGATTTCCTCCGTCCGACAGCCGCCGACTGTCACCCTTCTCCGTTCAATCCGTATGCATTGCATTTCTCCGCCCTTTGTCCGTCTGTTTTGACAGCCTCCGTCCGTCTGCATTGCATTTCCGCCATATTGTTACGGTATTTGAAGTTTTGTCATTTTTCTGGATTATTGTCTTAGTTTTTCAGTTTTCTGATTGAAACTGATTGTTAGTTTATTAGTTGTAAAGTTGTCTGCATTGCATTTCCGCCATTGTTAAGTTATTTGAAGTTTTGTTATTTTTCATTGTGACACTGTAAAGTTAGTGAATTGTGACACTGTAAAGTTAGTTCATTTTTCTGAATTGTGAAACTGATTAAAACTATGGATTGAAACTGATTGAAACTGATGGTTAGTTTATTGGTTGTAAAGTTAATGAATGTGGTGTGGTATATTTGAACTTTGGATTGAAACTGATTGTTTGGTTGTAAAGTTAGTGTTAAGGATTTCATGAAGAAGTTAGTTTTTGAATTATGAATTGTGACACTGTTAGAACTATTGCAGTTAGTTTTTGCAATTAGATGGAATTACGATAGTGAGAGATTGAAGGTTAGTCGATAGTGAGAGATGAATAGAATAAAAAAAATGAAGTTAGCTAGTGTGTAAAAGTTGTACAAATGGAGAATGAATAGAATCAAAAAAGGAAGAGAAAAGTAAGAGAAATGGAATAGTTAGGTTTGTTTTTAACTTATCTATATAACACACTCAATATAATTTTTAGTTTGGAATTTAAATAACAATAGTTTGGGAGATTAAAGGTAGTGTATTCACATGTGAAAAATAGGTTTAATTTACATTATCATTTAATAAAATTCATCATCCACCCACGTCATATAGTTAATTAAAAAATATTAATGTAACTTGATAGAGCATATTTTTTAAGAGAGTAGCCAACGTGAATATAAATATAAGTAAACTCTATACCTATCAAAATGGTTAGATCATATGAGTACTCCGTTTTATGGTATTTTATTTTGTTCATCATTTTATAGTTTCTTAGTTGTTCCACCTTTCTCTTTTAATATTATAAGGCTTTATTAAAAGAAATTATCAACTATATAAGAAGTTGTTACATTATTGCAAGTTTTATCAACAATTGATGTTCCAAGAATTATTTAATGTTGATGATGTTATTAATTTTGTCTGTTATAGGGGTTACTGTTGCACCCCAAATTTTGACCCCTTAGATCCTCACCTTCATTTTAGGATCATGTTCATTTGATTATCTAACCTTAACCCATTTCAAGTTTATCTTTGTCAAGATATAGATGAATCAGGGTTCCGTACCGTCAAAAATCGAGGCTTCGACGGTATGATCAGTCAATATATTGGATTGGTTCTCCATAAAACAAGATCAAGGATACTAAATTGGGTCAAGTATGAATCCAATTTGAGGTTGTCACCCAAAGATTGAAGACAGTACAGTTCAGGATCCCCGATTAGGGTTTTCAAGTAGGAAAAGTCAACTATAGTTTGAATTTTGATTTAAAGGGTGTTTCAATGATGTAATTATGGTCCCTCAAGTTCATATGTCTTATTGAAGTCCACTCAAAGAGTTTCAAGGCCTCAGGAGACTCAGAAAGTCAACAGTCGGCTCGATAGTCATCGATCGATCGCACGGTTGACCGAAAAGTTAACTCTTCAACCATAAGGAATTTGACCTCATGATATGAATAAAAAATTTTCCTTATGTCATATTACACATGCCCATAAAATTTCATGACCATTGGATCAAGGATTGAAGAGTAATCGGAAAAATCGGGAATTAGGGTTTTGAATGGGGCAAGACCATAACTCCTTAACCACGCATCTAATTGAAGTGGTTCAAAGCTTGTTGGAAAGGTCTTGACAAATACTACAAAAGTCCCATAGTGGTCCATGATCAAAAAATGCATAGAATTGGAGTTATAGCCAAGATCATTTTAAGAGTGTAAAACACTTAGAGAAATTTCAAGTTTTCTGGCTGCATAATTCACATTTTCAGCCAACTTGAAGGGGTTTTTCAACCTACTTCCACATAGAGTCTGAGGATCTTATAAACATAAAAGTTTTAGAGCTACATGAGGGCTTTCCAAAAAGTACAAGAACTCCTCAATAGCATTTGTGAGCTGAGAGTTATGGATCATGGAAGTTGGGCCTGCCACACTTGAAGCCATTATGTCAAAATTTCTCAAATTCAGATTTCCACAACTTGGGCTATCCTCAACCCTTGGATCATGTTCAAACTGATAATTACAGGTGTGGATGTGTGGAAATGCATAAAGAATGAGAGATGTGAAGGGAGATACAAGTTGCAAGCAACTTGCAATAAAATAATAAAAAATGTGTAAGAGGAAAGAGAAACTTTTTCTCCAAGACTGTGGCAGCTGCTCACTCTACATTCTAAGCTTTATTCAGTCACATCATGTCCATCATTCCACTTGATTTTTGCTTGCCTTGAGCCAAGGAACTGATGTGTAGAGCTGCCACAAGATTTTGGCAAGATTTCTTCACAATCTCCCTCCAAAAATGGCAAAATCCAAATCTGCCCTCACCTTCATTTTCACTATAAATAGAGGCGTTCTCTATGATGTTAGACACCAGAGAATAGAGAAAACATTTGATCTCATCTTGCTTTGCACTTTCTTACAATTGAAGAAAACCATCCAAAATACCAAAAATCTGCCTTAGAGCAAAACACCTTCCAAAATCATTTTCACTCATTCAAATTCACCACAAAACATCCACACAATCCACAAATGATGTGTAGGAGGTGTTCAAGCTTTTAAACCACTCAAAATCACCATTTTCCAAAAAGTCAACTTTCAACCAAACCAAGTTTGACTCCACACACAAAATTTGCCAAATCTCTGCCCAGACCTATTCTAGCTGTTCTAACCATCCACACACCTCATATATATCTTGTTTCAACTGTCCAAAGGATCAAAAATCAGTTGGAAGGCTCATTGCTCAAACTGTCCTATAGTTTGTTTATTGCTTCAAGAGGAAGCAGGCTTCAAGTTTGTGCCAAAGAAGAGGATCTCTGGGTTTCTTTGCTTTCTAGCTTGTTCAAGAAGTCTACAAGAGGTATGTGATGCATAACCTCCTCATTTTACATCACATTGTCATGTTTTACAATTTTGAGG